TTGGTCTTTAATACTTGCTGGCTCAATGACGAATATATAGCTTTTATAAGCCACGAAGTATGAAAAAAATCTCAACAGCTATATGTGTTCTGCTCCTGAGAGGTTGATTTTTCATTACTAGAATGAATGGACCTTCTTGTCACATACAACAGTAGTAGATTGGGATTTTACTTGCATAGTTGTAAGAGCCTGAACATCAGCTGCTTCTCACCTTATAAAGAACCATCACTATTTCTAATCCTGGCAACAGAGATAGGTCTCTGCTCTGCAGACATATTCTTCTCCATTTTATAATTATATAGTGTTTATCCTTAGTTTGGCTGTGTTCTTAGAGACTTGAATCTTTTCCTAGTGGCTTAACAGACTCTTCTCTTTCTTTCTCTCCCTCTCTCTCTTCCTTTCTTCCATCTCCTTACCACTGTCCTATCTTCTTTCCTCCCTCCCTCCCTCCTTCTCTCTATCTTATAAGTATTTCTGTGTGAATTTCTATTCTCACAGCCTATGAGTGGACCTCTAGAACATGACCCCACACAGGAAGCAAAATGTCCCAGCATGCTGGCCTATAGCCAATAGTTAAACAGGAAGCACTAGCCTTTAACATTAAAAAGAAAAGATCTTGGGCTGGGCTAGAGATTCATGATGGAGAACTTGTCTAGCATTCACAAATGTACAGATTAAATTCCCAGAACTACACAGAAAAAAAAAATAATGTTTAAAGATATAATTACTCCACTTTTCTAATACTCTGGATTTTTCATTCAGTAAGAAGCTGACTGCTTCAAGGAGAATCGGGAACCTAGACTGCCATCCTTAGATGACGTTCCTTTACTGAGGCTCAGATGACAAAAAAGGGATTGTGGAGCCAGTAGGCAGCTCCACTGGAGTAGGAAACAGTGAAGAATGTGACTAGGCACAGCCCCAAGGGTTTTCTTTCTCTGACAACTGTGAAGATTTTTTTCCCCGAGCACATGATTTAAGAAAAAGCAGCTTTAAACACCATTCTACATATTATATACAGAAAAGTACAGTGAGCAAAAGCAAGAGACGCCTAAGCCTAATCTAAGGCTTCACAGAGCAATGGCACTGTGTCCCGTCTGCTATTTCAAAATGACCAGAACACCGAAAAGATGCCATCTGTGGAATTTTATGGCTGCAGAACTGTGATTCACCCTCTTCAAACGGAAGCTGAATATATCCAACATGTCACTCCTGGAACCAGACTAGGTCGTTCTTCTTTCCTCATTTGGAAGAGGTTGGAGAGGACACCTAAGTGCAGACTACTGTCTCAACTGACTTTGAGTGAAGCTTTGGACTGTAACAAAATCAAGGTGTAGTTTAAAGAATACAGAGAAGCCAACAACGGGGCAAAGGCTACAGGTCTTAATTTCAGCAAGTGTGTTTGTGTGTGTGTGTGTGTGTGTGTGTGTGTGTGTGTTAATGAGGGAGAAAGAAAAAAAAAACCTATCAAAACCAACAGAGCCACTTAGGCCTAGACAGAACTTGGGACAAAATACTTGGCCATAATTTCTGGGTAGTCATTTGATAAGCTACATTAGACAGAGTGGATGCTCATTGAATTAACTAAACTTTGTCATTCCAGTGTCTCTCTGGTGACCTCAACTTCCTTGTGTCAGATGATGTGCAAATCTTAAGGAAAGTATGTTATTCCCAAGACTTATAGCTGGAACTAAGAAGGCAACAGAAATAAAAACAGAACCCTTACAGCTATAACAAGGAACAGAAACTCAATGGAGTAGATCTGCCAAGCAGATCCGTGGGCAGCACTACAGAGAATGCTGGGCTTCTATGGCACATTGGGTATGATCTCCACACTGGGCACTTAGCCAGGGGCCTGCAGAATGCATGGCAGTAGACAGAAGGTCATTGAGAAGGAAAAGATATACAAGTGTGGGACAGTTAAAAATACCAGGTTGAGTTGCTATAACCTGGGTTATAAGCAAAGCAAGACTGTCCATTGGCTGGGTTAAGCCACTCTACTGAAAACAAGCTGGGAATAAAGAACCCTACCAAGGCTGGTCACAATGCCAAATGTCAAGCTGCTCACCAGAGACCTGACTACAAGGTGCATTAAGTTCATGGGCCTTGTGTTTCTCAGACGGTAGCTGCTGGCTTCTGCCAGTACTAGCGGAGAAAGACCAGAAGGGAGGCCAGGTGGCAAATTCCTAAGCTTGTGGCCATAGCACTAATGGCCAGGTTCAGATAGAATTTGCTGGCCCTGCCTTGTTCCAGCTTCTCAATCCCTGTTCATCTTTATGAGCCTGAAACATTTATGCTGTACCCAAGGGAGCTTTACACCTCAGAAGCACATGAAGTTTGTTTTGCTTCTTCTCAAATGGAATTAGCCTCCCAATCATAGCACCCTTGATCTAAGCATCAGCTTTCTGGATTACTTTGTCCTTAAGTCTTCACAGGATACCTCTCCTAGTTTGGGTCAAACATTACAGGTTGATTTATGCATTACCTACCCCCCTGCACAGGAGCCCCAGGGGAACTCAGGAGTACTAGACACACCTGCATGATGCTAGTCAGATTGGGCCTTCAGGACTGCTATCCCTGAGCATAAATAACCTGTGTGCTTATTTCCCATCATTGGAGCTCACCTTCTTAGACTCAGAACTCAAGGTGCCAAGTTAATTCAGTAGAGGCTATCTGGTGGATATATCTCAAACCTCAGTGCATCCTGAAGTTTTGCACTCTACACAGATGTTCTGGAAGCTTGGTTGGATTTTTCTTTGAAAATGGTATCCAAATCTTATTCTCTCTTCCTGACCCACTCTCTTTAATTCCTTATACAAAATTTACTGCTTCTCTCCTCTTTCCTCTAAGCTTCTGTTCTATTTCTAAGCATGAGGATAGAGCAATTCTCACTCTCTGGACTTTAAGCTCAAATAGAGGCTTGGCTCCCAAGCTGAAGCGCAAGAAAGAGTCAGGGATTGTGTGAAGGAAGATGTGGTCACTGAACAGGTTGACTCTAGCTTCTGCCATCCATTCTAGAGGTGAAAAGCCTGAAGCTTACTGACATGGTCTCTTCTTTTTCCCCTTCAGGCAGAGGTTGGCACTCTTAGTTCCCATTGCTAAAGGATTGTAGTTTGGGCACTTGCTTTCTTTGATTCAGCTATGAGTATGGGGAAGCCAGGGATGGCACAGAAAGTCAAGGCCTTATAGGAGAGTCATTACTGAGGCACAAACAGCCAGTACCCCGTCTGTGCCTTGCACTAAGCCCACTGTCCCTCAGGAGTGCTCCTCTCCTCTGTGAATAGGGTCATCAGTGCAGTCCTCTGGGGACGGGGGAGGGGGAATTCCATGTACAAGAGAAGGCACTGCCATCTCTGTGGTGACAGTAGGAACTCCCTTTGGGGAGTTTGGGGAAGAGAGAGCAGAAGGAGTCAGCCAACCAACTGTAGAGAGGGGATCCCCAGGGTCTCCACACCAGAAGAAGCTTCTTTACCAGGATGGAGACATAGTAAGGGGAGGAGGTCAGGCAAGGTGGAGCTTTTATTCCTCCAGCACCCTGGCTCGCAGCCGGCTTTCCTCAGATGAAATTCTCTACATCATCCTCCCCAGTTCCAACCCCTCCCCTCTCCATCCCGCCCCGCCCTGTGCCCATCCCTGCTGGCCACTGGGTCCATCGCCCGGGAACCGCCTCCCGTTTCTCCTCCCCTGCGGTTCTTTCTGTTTTTTTGTTTTGTTTTGTTTTTTTTTTTTTTTTTTTCGTTGGCATCTGGCCGGGCATAGCCACCACCCTCCCTCTACTCTCCCCACTTCCCCCTTGCTCCGCAGAGGTCCTGTTCCCTTTCCCCTCCCCCACCCAGCCCACCTCTGACAGGCCAAGGGAGAGAGGAGGAGGATGCATTCCTTCAGTCCCTCCACTGCCAGTTCTCCCTCCTCCGAGAACCTGAGGCTCCTAGCTGGGGAACCCTTCTTCCTATCTCTACACAGTTCTTCAAGCCACCCCATTAACCACCAGCAGCCCTAGAGGAGGCTGAAGTGCCCCCACAGCGCTGACCTACATAGCCTGGCCTGGGGCGGGAGGAGCTCTTCCCCAAGTCCCCTCTCCCTTGGCCCCGCCTCCTTTCTTCACCCCTGACTCCTTTCCTTCACCTCTTTACCTTTACAGACCCAAGAAGGGTTGAGTTGCAGACTGGGGCAAAGAGGCAACCCAATCCGGAATTTGGAGAAATTGATGTTCAGCCCAGGAAAGCTTTGGGTTTCCCATAGATCCTTCTCCCCAAATATCTTGCTCTCTGCTTTTGTTGCCCCGCACCCAAGTATCTGTTTCCTTTCCTAGCTTTTTTGCCACCGCTAGGACTAGAGCCAAACTGGGGGCTCCTCCGCCCTGTGTTGTTGTTTTGCTTCAAGGAGAAGCCCCCTCTCCTTTGCCCACGCCCCCCTCGACAGCCTCACCCAGGCCCCCTTCCCTGCCCACTCAGAGCTCCGCGGCGGGTGGGGGACGCTCGGGGGAGCAGAAATGTTTGCATACAGCAGTTTGGGGGATCGTTCTGGCCACCCAACCTCTACAGACATACATACACAAACACCCAACACACGCCCTGACTGAAACAGCGACAAATCTCACTCCGCCCCCAACACACACTGACACAGACATACACACAGACTCTGACACAGAAACACAGCACCAGACACCAACATAGACGCGCACACCCAGACACACACGGACACCAACACATCCAGATCCCGGCTGCTCAAAATAGACAGAACCCCCCCACCCCCAGACCCCTGATGCACACGTAGACACCCACAGTCGGCGTGTACCCAGGAGGGTGCACACGCCGGCACACCCCACGGTCCTCAGAGACAGCGGTGCTCAGAGACAGACACAAGGGTATTCCAAGAGGCTGGCGTCTTGAACCCTCGCTTCTAAACAAAGCCAACAGGCTCCCTGCGTCCGGGCTCCCAATCCGAACCCCCACCTCGGGGCACTGGCCACCTCCCCTGGCGCCGCCCCCTCCCTCACTCACCGTCCTGGGAAAGATTGGCCCCGCCGGGCGCCCAGGAGCAGGCGAGGAGCAGGAGCAGGGGCAGGGCGAAAGGGGCCCCCATCGCGCTTCCTGGCAGCCTCCCTGGCTGGGCGCTGGCGAGCCTGGGTCTCCGGAGACTGGGGCCGGGGGCACTGGGTAGACGGCGTCGCTGTCCAAAAGGGCGCCCCCGGAGCGGCTTCCAAGCCCGGGGCCGAGGCGGGTACCGGGAGGGAGCCGGCGCTGCTGCAGTCGCCGGGATTAAATAGGGCGCTCGGAGCAAACCATTCGGTTGGAGGTGGAGGGGGGGTGGCGGGGGGCTGGGCCGGTGGCGGGGGGGCCTGGATGCCGCATTCCCTACTCCCCCCCGCCTCCCACACCCCCTCCGCGCTTTTGTGGTGCCTTCCATCTTCTCCCCGGGGAGCTCCTCCGGCATCACTCGGGTGTGGAGCAAAGGGAGGGAGCTGGCTCAGCAGTGGGACCCCACGCGCACCCCTCTTAGGCTTGGGGTGGAGAGAGGGGAGGTGGGCAGGGCGGTGGGCCAGCTGGCGAGAGAGTCCACTGCAGGCCTGGGCAAGGGCGTGCCCACTAGCCTGAGATCCTCCAGCCCCGCCTTCTCCTTAGGCAACCGGGATCCCCAAAGCTAGGGCACCCCTATCCGCTGTGTGACCAAGGGTGCATCTCCAGGATACCTGATGACTCAAGCCATTCTCCTAAGCGTTAGCATCCTTAGTTCCTCTTACTCAAGACCCTCTACTTATCTGTCCAGCAACAATTTGTAGCTCCAGGCAACCTCCTTTGCAAAGTGGACCCCAGGAGGCCGCGGGACCCAATCTCTTTTAAGCCTTCTTCAAAGACTTTATCCCAGACACTAAACCAAGAAAGCATTCCGCAAAGAAACTTAGTGTTTTCCTCTTTGATACTCTACCTTGGGTCCCTTTAACTCCCAACTAGCCCCTTGATAGCCTTTCTTCTCAATTTCACAGAGGCTCTTCTTCTCAACTTTTAGCTAGTAAAGGCAGACCCACAGACCTTCTTATGGACCAAGAGACAGTGTGTGTATGTCTGGGAGGGAGGATTCAACACCCCCCCCCCCAGGCTGTAGAGAAGATGAGAAAGACTGTATTTGCTCACACCTGAGAGTCCCACATCCCTAGTGTTTTCTGTTCTTCGAGGTTATCTCTGGAAGAGTTTTGGTATGTTTCAGAAGAGGATCTTGCTGGGTTAGTTTGAAATTTAGTTTTGGAGAATACATTCCTAAGTTTCAGAATCCTAAAAATCGTAGAGTTTCAGGTATGTTAAGCGTTCTTAGAAAATACCTGATCTAACCCAGAGGAAATTAGCAGATCACTTAGAAGCAGAAGACACAGCATTGGCCATGAAATAAGAGCATATAAGCGGGATGTATCTCTGTAATACAACCTCCAGCCCATTTTCTGTGCTGTCCTCCTGGGCTAATGTTTAAAGGTTGGGTAATCTTTCCTCCTCTATGTCAAGGTTTCTCAACTCTTGATGGTGATGGAGTTAATGTCTCTGTCATCTAAGAACCTGAGGACAGCCTGCAGAACATCCTCCATAACCAGTAAAGCCTCATCTAATTGACAGGCAGTGATGCCTGGGCTGAAAAAAAATACTGTTCAGGGAACCCCTGCAGGCTGGTCTGGGTCTGCTCCAATATTTTTCACTCACTGTTTCTGGAGTCTAAAGTTTCTAGAGAAGAGATCTGCTTGTCTCTTGGACATTTTTTTTTTTTGACTGTCTGGTGGTTATTTCTTCCTAGACATTATTGAACAAGGTCTGGTTTGGTGACACCAAATCATTTTGCCTCCCTGAGATCTCTGCTATCTTGAAACCCAACCAATGAAGATGGAGTGACTATATTGCAGGGACATAGAGATGGACAGGGATGTAAGAGAGGGAGGAGACTGGACCAGGTAGGTCAAGATTGTAGAAAGATTATACTTTTTCCTTTTTTGTTTTTTAAATTTTATTTTTAATTTATTACAATTTATTCACTTTGTATCCCAGCTGTAGCTCCCTCCCCCAAAACTTCCCAATCCTGTCTTCTCTCTCTCTTCTCCCATGCCCCTCCCCCAGTCCACTGATAGAGGAGGTCCTCCTTCCTTCCATCTGACCCTAGCCTATCAGGTCTCCTCAGGACTGGCTGCATTGTCTTCCTCTGTGGCCTGGTAAGGCTGCTCCACCCTTCAGGGGGAGGTGATCAAAGAGCCAGCCACTGAGTTCATGTCAGAGAGAGTCCCTGATCCCATTACTAGGGTACCCACTTGGACACTGAGCTACCAAGGGCTACTTCTGTGCAGGGGTTCTAGGTCATCTCCATGAATGGTCCTTGTTTGGAGTATCAGTCTCAGAAAAGAACCCTAGGCCCAGATTTTTTTCATTATTGTAAATGGATATTAAACGTATAATATAGGATAATCATACTAAAATCTGTAAAGAAGCTAAGTAAGAAGAAGGACTCTGGGTAAGATGCTCAATCCTTATTCAGAAAGGCAAACAGGATAGACTTTGGTAGAGGGAGAAAACAGGGAACAGACAGGAGCCTACCACAGAGGACCTCTGAAAGTCTCTACCCAGCAAGGTATTAAAGCAGATGCTGAGACTCTTAACCAAACATTGGGCAGAGTGCAGGGAATCTTATGAAACAAGGGGGAGATAGAAAGACCTGGAGGGGACAGGAGCTCCACAAGGAGAGCAACAGAAGACTACAATTTTTGACAGAGGTGGGACAAGGTTGCTACGAGGTTAATTATGATAAGAAAAGGAAGGCAAAATAATATAAAATTCAACCTCAAAATGAAATGAAACAATCAGCCTTGGTGGGAAGGATTAGGCTTTTCTAGTTAAAGGCTATTGATGGGTGAAGAGTATTGTATTCCAGCTAGAAGAAACTTTAGCCTTACCTATCATCTAAGTAGGATTTAGATAGGACAGGGTAAGGGGCATGTGGAGGTGAATTAGGTGGGGGTAGGCAGGATGTGGGATTAAGTCCCAAAGTCTTCTAATTAGCCATCTTTTCCATCTGCTGCTTCACTGGATCCCCTTCTGCCTGTCCTTAATTCTCTGATGACTGCTGCTCTGGCCCCACCCTCTACTGTAACTGACTGGATGGGTACCAAGAATGGGAGGGAAGAGAGAGCTGTTTTGAAAAGACAGTATGAAGACTAGCAATGGAGACTCCGGAATGCTATTTTTTCTCCTGGCTCCTCTTCCCTTCACTGCATCATCAGCATGAGTTTGGCGGCCTTCTAGGACATGTTAATATGAAGTTGCCATTGACTTTTAAAATTATGGAATAAAAATGTATTAGAGTTGCTAGGATTATCCTTTTAGATGGGTCTTTGTTGAAGAGATGAGGAAATTTGGAGCTCAGAAGCCAAGTGTCTTTCTGTGTTCAACAGCTAGCTAGTAAAGGTTGACAGGACTAGATGAGGAACAGTACATCACCCAGTAATGTAGCAATGTCTAATTTGAAGAGTTCTCCTGTTTGCCTCAGAATGATAGTTTCTCCTACGTGGTGGTACATTTCATTTGGAAGAAACGATATTCCCTGTAACTCTTCTATTACTCTGTCTGCATTTGCCCCCTGTATCTTACAAGCATGCCATTTGCTTAGGAAAAGGGCTTTAAAAAATTTACTGACCTACACTTATTATCCCATCATAAAAATAGGTAGAGTGTATCTATGTTGGATTGTGATCTCTATGGTTACTCTCCACTTGAAAATGCTCTGGCGTACAATTTGTGTTTCCCAGAGACTTGCACAAGGCCTGAGGTGGGTTGTCTGTGGGATTGCAGAGCTGGAAGCTACAGTGAGATTTGGGGGAAGCCAAGAAAGGGAGTGAAGAGAAGGCAAGCTCTGGCCTCCTGCGTGCCCCTGTCCACTCAGCAACAGCCTGAGTATCTGGGGGTGTGGAATGTGATACTGGCACCAATGCTGGGCTAGACACAGCTGTGTGGGCCCTGGGCATTCTTTCCCCACGCAGCTTCTGCTCAAAGGGGAGAGGAAAGGAACTCAGCTTGCAGAGGGTGAGTTTTAAGTCTTCATCTGGGAGGGATCAGCAGCACCTATTGGGGAAAATATATGATGAAAAGATGTTACTCAGCAGTTACTCAGAGGTCACACAGATGACTCCTCACACTCTGACCCTTCTTCTCCCTGTGGCTAAGTAAACTCTGTGCAAGTTTCCACACTTTACCTCCTTAATTTTCCACCCAACTAAACCAGTACTTGGCAATACCACTCCTTGCTTCTATTATCCAGTTTTAATTAACATCACCCTTAATAATAACCTCACTAAGGATTTTAATTCTAACCTTAATTGAATTCTAATTTTAATCCTAACCCTAATCTATTAACAATTCTAACCACCAGTCCTAATAGCAGCCTCAACTTAATTATCAGTTTTAACCAGCATCTTCATTCTAACCAGGTTTGAGCTGGCAACTAAGAAAGCAACTTGCACATGATGAAAAAAAGATAGTCACAGGTCCCATGAACTGAGAAGCATCATTTGCCAGCATTCATGCTGAGTGCTTTATGTACACAGTGTCTCATGTGGGTACCATGAAACTACCTAATGTGGCTGATTTTATTAGTTCCTTTACCAGTGCAAAACATGGTGTAACATGACTATATTTGTAATTAGTGGGTCCACTACAAGGCCTGCTTGATTTGTGATCCTGCGCTCACATCCCCTCTGCCAACAAGTACTTCTGACCAACCTTCACCTGAAACCCCAACTAGTACACACTGGCATGACATCTATATATCATCACTCACTTTGTTTCTATTTTTACACAAGTTAACAGTACAAATTAGAGATTGGGCAAATCACAAGATTCGCCACGTGTCCCTGCTCACAGATCCTATTGGCGCATTGAGACATTAAGGTAATTTATTGATGAAGTTAAAATATTCAGACTATAGAAAGAAACTAACTGCAGAGAAAAGCCTCCTCGCCTTCGCCTTCTCGGAGTAGCCATATTGCACAACCCCAGGGGGCATCGTTCTAATTGGAGTTGTGTAACACAGCAGCACTGCCTCCCACAGCTATCCAGGCAAGCAGATAAAGTCAAGGTAAATATCTACCAAATTAAATCTCCCAGTGTACGTGTGTGACTTAGGTATGACAATCACTAGCCACTTTGAATTTATAATTAGCAATAACTATTAAGGACCAGACTCTCCTCTAAATTCCTTGCATTTATTGCACGTTTTAATATTCACACATCTTCTGTGCAGCATTCAT